TGTATATATATTTCATTTTGTGTTAGATATGTATGTACATATATTTTTAGAAAATACTAGTGTTACCAAATATAATATATATAAGTAAAAAATGTCATGCTGCAGCAAGTAAAAAATATGTTCGATATGTATATAACTAACACAAAATGAGAAAAAAAAATTGAAAGCGGAGGGTTAGATGGGTGGGTAAAATTATTTTTTTAAAAATAAAAAAAAATATTATCTAAATTAATATTTGGAGGGGGAATGAAGTGAAAAAAAGTAAATTTTGTTATAAAAGAAATTTAAACATAACAAAAAAAATGGGGGGAGAGTGATGGAGTGGGGTTAGAAATATTTTACATTTTATTTTATAAAAGAAATAATAAATTTTTGGATAATAATTTATTTAATTTTGTCAGGATTGAATGTTTTTTTCATGTGAAGTGTGATATGATAGGTTTTTTTCTCAAACTAAAAGTGATAGTTTAGGAATGAAACTCTCACTCTCAATAGTTTAGGTACGAAACTCAATAAAAAGGTATAGTTTAAGTGTGTTTTAAAAATTTATCTCAAATATAATTTATGATAATAGTTTTGCCACCAAGCAGAAAAAAACTTGCCTTTCCAATTATAAAATAAAATAAACAAACTTTTAAGGTGTGTTTTTCCATCTTTCTATGTTTGATAGATTTAAATGTTTGGAAAATATGTTATCGAAGAAAACAAATTCCTTAAGAATGAAAAAATTATTTATTAATATAAATATGACAAATAAGTTGCATAATTGACATTTCGACTTTATTGTCTCCATCCCATCCACTCAACCCTTATCCTACCTCTAAACCCTCATTATTCATCCATATCTGCCTGCCTCCATAATATTTTGTTACGTAATATATAAATATTCTTAAAATAATATTTTCTTACTTACTTATCAACATTAAAAAATAAGTAAGAATATTTTCTAGAAGATCACTTTTTATGAAAAACATTTTCCTTAGTACCAAACACCAGTTTTAGCAAAGTATAGTGTATACTAACGTTTGTTTGGTACTTTGGTTGTTGCGCGGGCAGGAGCGGACCTAGAGGTTGCCAATGGTATGTTTCTATATTGATATTGAGCCTCCTGAATGTAAGATTAGAGGTTGATTTAATGGTTGAGGAGTTCAAAACTCACCCCTTGAGGTTCCAAGATCAAGTTTTAGGCACTATTCTTATTTGTAATCGCTTAATGAAAATTTTGGATCCGCCACTATATACTGTGTAACTTTTTGGCACAGAAAACGTGGGAGAAGGGATATGTCTTCCCTTTTCTCAATTATCCATCAATTTCCCATGTTACGTTTGTCTAATAATAAGACCAAGAATATTCTTTTCTTTATGGATTAAGAATAATACAACACAAAAAGTTAGAGCAACACATAGTATTGATCTATGGTGTCCTTCATTTAGCAAACACGTTTATTGTACACATTATTATATTGAAAGGAACTGTATTTAAGAATAGTGTATGTATTGTTTCTATTAGTAATATGAAAGTATATAAAATGAAAATAAAAAGAGAGACAAGGACAGCCCTGTCTGGAATCATGTTCAAAGAAGGCTGCTAGTTGCCTGTCTTTGTTGCAAATTTTATATAAACAGAGATAATATTAGGTAACTATTGTTAAATAAATCGCTAAGTTATTCTTTGGATAATTTTAAAGACCTCCCCTCTCGTTTAACTCTATCAAATTAACTTCTCTCGTAGTTTACGATATTATATATACCTCCTCATTTTGATAATTTTGTAACTATATCTTTTACCTATTTTTGATTAGTACATGTAAAATACTTTTGACAAATTTAACCCTTTTGATAATATTAAATTCCTTGTATTTATTATTTCATATTTCATAAAAAATTATTGAAAAACACAATTCTTGTACTAAAATATCCTTCTTGTAAGCAGGGGTCGAAGTTCTTTCTTCCTCTTCCTTTACTATTTTCTATGCACGAGTACTTGTTCGTCTTTATTTTGTCTCGAAAAAGAAAAAAAGTTTGATATTTCTATATATTTGTTGTTACAAAAGTATGATTATATCAGGGGCGTATGCAGGACGGGATCACCGGATTTATTTGAGCCCATAATCCCTCAGACATCATATGTAGTAGTGTTATATTTATTTTAAAAAAATAAATTAAATTGTTTGTACTTATGTTTAAAGTATCATATAATATTGTGCGATGAGGATTGGGTGTCCTTGTATAAGAGAGATTGTTCTATCTATATCTTGTTTTATTTTTATTTCTAAAATTGGATCACACCTCTCTAAGTGGTTTTAGATATATATAGGTAAAAAATAGTTTTGGGCCTATAATTTTAAAATTTTAATAGCTTTCAGTAATAAGAACTTATGATCAAATATATATCCTAGATCCACATTTCATAATAGTGCACTCATCATCTCAAAATCCTAAATACGCCTTATTACTTTAACGTTACACAAATAACTTATGTTTAGTCAAATTAGTTAAATAATTACGGAAATATAAATATTTAGTCGACTTTTGCGGTATAAGATATAATTTAATGATATTTTGCTTATAAAAGTTAAATTTAATGACTTTTAAGCATTATCACGTTGAGTGATTTTTCTTTATGAGTGAAATTAATTCAATAAGTTTGGTGCAAATTGAATGAAATGACTGATTTTGGAGAAACAAAAGAGAGATAAAAAGTAAGAAGATGTTGAAGCAATGATGCATGTATAGAGATGGTGACAAAAGAGCCAGCACATAATGACTTTAGCAAGTTAACACACAAAAGGTTTTCCCTCAAAACCATGCAAGAATTATGGGACTAACTTTTTTTGATTTTTCCGTCCATTTTTATTTGTTCAGTATATAAAATCATCAAATAATTTAGCATATTGTGGTTATTTTATTTTTGATATTAAACACTATTCATTATACAATATTTATACGACTTGTATTTACAAAAGGTGATTTGGTAAAATTATCTTTATTATTTATTGATTCTTAATTTCTATGTAAGTGTGTCAATCAATAGTGAACATTTATTGCTGAACAAAACGGACAACTATTGTTGAACAAGGAGAGTACATAAAAAAAGGAAAAATGTACAAGTACTCTCCTAAACCATGACCGAAATTTCAGATACACACTTTAACTAAATTAAGGTCCTATTACCTCCTGAATCATTTTTTTTGCAATTGTGTGCACCTTGTTGGCTTACGTGACATCCAAATATCTCCCACAGACCTCAATTGCATGGAGTTACAGAGTGTGCCATGTAAAACAAAAGATGTACATAATTACAAAAAAAAATCAGAGGGGTAATAGGACCTTTAGTTTAGTTAAAATATGTCTTTGAGATTTCAGTCATAGTCTAGGAGGTACTTGTGTATTTTCTCAAAAAAAGAAAATACTCCTCCATTCTAATTTATATGAGGTAGCTTAATTTAGCACGAAATTTAAGAAAGAAAAAAGTATTTTTTTTTATATTTGTGGCCTAAAACAAGTCGTATGTACAACTCATGTATTATATATAGAAAGAGAGTGAGAGAGCGCTCTCAGGCTCAGCTCCTCCCATTAATTATTTGTAAGTTAAATATAGTAGAATGTTGAGTTGAGGTTTTGATGGGATAAGGAAGGAAATTCATCAGTCCAAACAAGGTGGTATATTTGGGCTGATCTTTGCTGCTGAATCATTGGTTCATCAACATATTATACACATACAAGGATATATACATATGTTGTTGCATCAATGATGCAGGAGCTGAGTTCAGTTTTGGCTACCTTTTCTTGGACTGAAGGGTTTCCTTCTCAACCCCAACCATGCATCATGCTTGTTATCTCAGGTTTTAAATTTGATAGATTCAATCATTTATTATCTTTTTAAACATTTTTTCGTACAAATGTCAATGCAAGTAAACTACTATATCTTTTAGTTTTATGGAATTTAGTTTGATTAATCTATCTTTTCCTATATTGCATCGAAAAAAAGGACCTAATTAGATATAAGTGTCTTCTCTTAGGAATGAAAAAGTATTTAATCGTCCAATATTGAATCTGAAATTTAAGCAACATTCTCTCCTCCCTAGTGTTTTTTTTTCTTAACTCTTTTCAAAGAGTAGCCTTCATTATAAGTTCTGGCTCGATCAGAAGGATATAACACATGAAAACTTTCAGATTTGCTAACTTTATGAGGTTTAACCTTTGCCGTGAAAATTTATGTATTTGAAATTTAATAGTTTTTGTTACTTAGTGATTATTCTACATGTACATCAAATTTTCATGTTAAAAAAGTATAAGGCTCAATTGTGAAACTCATACTTAATATCAAGATTAAAGCGTTATGAGTGTCTAATTACCTCCTTTTACTTTCTCATCATTTGCGTTTTATGCTAAACTTTTTATTTTTTTTCTTCTTATGTATAGTTACTATTGCTGCTGCCACATATAAGGATCATTGACCGACAAATACAAATTAACGAGTTCGCCTCTAATACAGACACTTTTTGATCGCTATAGATCAAAGAAATCCTCTCTAAAAACACACGTCAAAATGGACACTTCGCCCATATTAGGCGAACTATCATTAAAATTTTTGTGATGTATGTTGTGTTTTGGAGTGAATTAACAAAAGTTGACTTTGTTTATTAGTCTGTATTTTTAGGACAATCCCTTTCATCGGTAGCGTCTCAAAAGTGTTTGTTTTGAGATCAGACTCCAAATAACACTTACTTGTATTTTTAAAAACTCAGATCATCTCTAATCTACCTCTATTTTACTCTTTGTTATATATAGTTGAAAAGTAAAATAGAGAATGGATACTCCAACTCATCTCCATATCACTCTCTATTCTTCAAATATAGAGAGTTAAAAGAATTATTATTCACACTCTCTATTTAACTTTTTAAATATTTTATTATTATTATTATTGTTACTTTGTAATCAACATGTTATTTTACGTATAATGTCATTAATTAAATATCTAATATTCATAATTCTTCTTAATTGTAATGTAATATTTTTAAAAATATCTTATTTAATATGTACTACTTTAATCTCAAATTAATAGTATTTTATTTTTTCCTAATTTTCGTCAATAATATAATTTAATCTTATTATTAAGTTTCTTTATAAAAAAATACACAATTAAAATGACAAGATAAAAAAATTAATTTTAAAAATTGAGGACAAATATGCTCATTTGAACGCCTTAAAGCATTAATAGAGCATTTATGGAGCAACGTAATAATTTTAAAGATTGAGTGTTTATGTAATGTTTATGTAATTGTATTCCACTTTTATTTGAATTTGTCCATTAGTTTGTATATTATATTATATTTTCTCGCAATTTGTTATTTAAAAATTTAAAATAGAATATAATTTTCTATTAAATAAAAATTTGAAAAAATAAAATTTTATATCGCATGAAAATTATATAAAGTAATTAATTGGAAAAGAAATAAAGAATTTATATTATGAAATAAGAAAATAAGAATGACAAAAATAATAATAATGAAAGAGAAAAAGATCTCTTCTTAAAAAAGTAAAATAGAAAATTGGTTGAAGTTAGATATCGAAAAAATAGAAAGCTCTATATTTGAAGAGTACGTAAAATAGAGTGTAGGGTTGGAGATGCCGCCTCACATGCATAAAGGTTATAGTAACCAAGTTTACAAGTGCATTCAAATTATAGTGAGTCCGAAGTAAAATGGGCAAAAAGATTTCAAAAGGGTATATCAATTTTTTTTTAATCAAAAAGGAAAAATCGCTGTGATTGTCTTTGACAAAATTAGCATGTTAATTTTTTTAAAAAAAACACAAAAATCGTTGTTGGAGCAGCGATTTCGTCCAAAAAACTTTTCTCCTTCCTCAAAATCGCTGCGCTGCTATATATAGCAGCGATTTTGTCAAAAAAATTTTGAGAAAATGCGCAAGTACCCTATCAACCTATGCCCGAAATCCCAGAGACACACTTATAATATACTAAGATCCTATTATTCTCCTGAACTAATTTTATAAGTAATTTTCTATTATTTCAACCTACGTGGCACTAACTTAAAAAAAAGAAATCAACCAGCGTTGGATCCACAAGATAGTGTCACATAGACCGAAAAGGGGTAGAAAATTATTAATAAAATAAGTTCAGGGAGTAATAGAATCTTAGTATAGTATAAATATATCTCTGAAATTTCAAATATACATTGAGGAGGTACTTGTGCATTATCTAAAAAAAATTTTTAACAAAGTTGGTGCTTGTCTCTATTGCTACAAAGAGATGAAGACCAAAGTGGGTGCTTTTGTTAAGCTATTGGATTTGCTTCTTTTCGTTTACTTCTTGTTAATCGTCATTGTTGCCCTTCCAAAACACATATTTCCTCCTGTGTTGGTTGACCTAAAGAGCTGGGACACACTCCACAATATGATGATTATTTGGTTTCGGAGAAACCCCATTTTTAAAGCCTTGCAAGAAACTATTTCAAAAAAAATATTAACTTTTTTAAGGAAAAGGAGCAGCAATTTCTATTTAAAATATTTTCTTTTTAGGAAAATGCTGCACGCACATGCCGCGATAATAAAAAAAATTACGATATTAATTTGTTATAAGAAAATCGCTCTTTCAGAATTGATTTTGTCCTTTTGATTAAAAAAAATAATTAATATGTCCGCTTTTAAAATTTTTGACAATTTTTTTACCTTTTTGACTTTGAACTCAAATTATAGTACACCCAAGCAATTAACAAAGCAATAGAAACTTGCCTTTTTTTCTTCTTTTTTTCTTTTGGAGTATCAGTTTCACTTGACATTAATAATAATAATAATAATAATAATAATAATAATAATAATTTTTTTGGGTGATTTCACCTCTCTAAATTTTTATTCTATTTTTAAGTTGCTTCTTATGGTGTGTTTGGTATCGAAATAGGCTGAGACATCTTGTAAATATTTAATTTCAAATTTACACTAGTATCTAGTGTTTACAAATATAATCCTACCACAACTCTATTTTAATAAGTTTGCGTTAATGAGACCGAGAAATATTGTGAAGAGAAATATTTTGAATTAAATATAGAATTTTCTCGATCAAATGTAAATCGTAATTTGTCAAACGGATAACTTAATACTCAATGCTCATGGTCCACGGCAATATGTTGCCCTTTTGGTTTCAAACAAAATTATAGAGAAACATACGTAAATATATTATAATAAAAAAATATTTAATATTTATAGTAATAATATTTTTTTATTTGATTACTTTTAATTTATTTATAATATAAATTTAATATATATCATAAAAAACATTTATTATTCGCATATAATACAAATTTTAATGATGAATAATATATTTATCACACATTTTAATACACTTATAATACAATGTGACAATATTTTACCAAACAAACATATGATATATTTCAAAAAAACAATTATAATTTATATATATTGCATACATAATTCACTTTTAATACATATTACAAATTTAACAAAGCATTGCTATAAATGATAATAAACAAAAAATATCGCTAAAATCAGTAATTATATGCCTTTTTGAAAATTTTGATCAATTTTGTTGCCTTTTTCCTTCCGACTCTTTAGTAAAGTGTATTAAGAAAAATAATGCATGTAGTAATTTTACATATTATTAATACTTTATTTGATACACCTTTTTAAGTTACATATAACTAATGTTTACTCGCTTATATGCTCTATTTAATATTAAGATATGTATAACTAAAATACGTGAAAATCCATAATATTAGTAACACAAACGGTTTTATAAATGCATATTAGCATGTTAAAAACACAATTGCCCCTCAACCTTTTTCATATCTTTTCTAGATTCCTCCATCCATATTTGTGGAGGGTACTTTTAAAAACAAATATTTTTTATTTGAAAGTATACAATACATGTTATTTTTAATATATCAAATCAGACATTGTATAAAGACATAATTTCAATATAACTAATACCAACATTACTAATACAACATATTCAACACTATTCTTATGCACCTTACCAAACGACTCCTAAATATAAAGACACACCCTTAACTTCCATATTTTGTTTAAGAAATAAAATTAACAAATGTAAACTACACATAAAACTTCAAAGAAAAAGAAGTTTACACGTATATAACATAATCTGACAATATTCAACAAAGTTTGGCAAAAAGAACATGGCACACACCCAGAAAGTAGCTTCAATCATTAATTCAGGCTGACCAAAAAAACTCTGCACTTTTTCTTCTTATTTTATTCACATTTGAACTCCTCAAACAGAATTTTCTTAAGCAAGGTAATAACGAACACTTAACCAAAACCCAAATGTAAAATTTTACATCCATGCCTATGCTAAAGCTACAGTACAACAATGCTTCTAACTAAGAAGCGGCAGTGCTTGCATACAACAGGGTGAAAAATATTTCTATTTCCGGTATGTCTTGGATAACTTGGATATACCTGTTTCTATTGGGTTCTTCGAGTAGGATCTGATCCATGTGAGCGATTCGTGGAAGAAGTTTAGCTAATGGCATACCTGATGTTAAATTGGCATCACCACATAAGACACTTATGTCTTCCATCAGTACATCCACAGCTGCTTTTAGTAATATGTCTACGATATTCCTGAATTCGGTACTGCCCAAAAAAAAGTTGGACTCTACTATATTACTTACAAATTTACCACAAAAGGCACAAGCCAAGAAGATTAATATTGAAATGGAATGTAGGAGAAACTTAAAACATTGAATATTTTCCTTTAGTTTTTGAATTCAGATGCTTTACAAGGGGGAATGAGGGCTAGCTGCAAGAAGGGAAAATTCATTTGACATTTTTTATGATAAAATCAGCTTGAGAAGATGCAAATTTTACATCAGCTCTTTCCATTCTTTATGATAATGATAAAATGTACACATGAAAAGTACTTCACTATGCCATGCTCCAAAGCAAGTAGCCTGTTATGAAGTAGTCTTTTCACACAACTTCCAGAAAGTAGCCTTTTTCACATGATCGATCATGCTAACTAGTGCAGTAAAGAAACTTATATTGATTCACAACATAATGATGAACTTAAATTACTTAAGTGACTGTTGAAATGCTAAACACAGGTATAGCAAGAAAAGTGCGTACCTTGAAAACACTGCTCGTGTCTCCAGCATAAGTTGTTCAAATTTGGATGCGTTACACAGATCTGTGCTGCCAGTGCTCGAGGTTACACCTAAGTTATTTGGCTTAGAGTCCTCTGGCATCAAAAAACTCAGCCAGTGATGAGGACTTCCCATGCTCATGAAGGTGTTCAATATCTGAATAACACTATCATGAAGTACAGTAGTGTTGAAAAAATCCTTCAGCTGTTTTCTGCAAATTAGAAGTTCTGAGTTGAATATAAAGATCATTCAGGCAAGATATATAGCATTCAGATATACATGTGGACGTGGTGGATATAACAAAGAGTAATCTGCACAAATTTTTGGTTCAAGAAGAACAGTTAAATGTACCTTTCTATTAGCTCTAAAGATCTCTTAAGTTTTAATTATGACACTTAACTCATTTGCAGGTCACAATGGAAAGTTCAATCAAGTGTAGAGGACTTGAACCCCAATTCAAGGAGATCACATTCCCAAAAATACAACAGGAGCAAATCACAACAGATCAATCAAATAAATCCAGCAGGGAAAATCAAATCAGCTTTAATTCTGGAAGAGAACACATCAGTGTTATCAAAGGCGCGCTTAAGCCCTGAAGCGAGGCTCAAAACATGTTGAGCGCTTCGCCTCGCTTTATGTGCGCTTCAGTGTCGTCATC